GTTAAACTAAGAATTTTAATCATGTTGATATTCCTTGCAATCAAAAGGAATTGGGTGAAATATTTTTCTAATCCTAAGCTGAAAAATGGCCTTCCATAAATTAATAAACCACACTAAATAATCTAATAACCTATGCTATCTTTTAATTAAAGTATAATATTTATTTTTCTTAACGAAGCATAAACATAATCAATCAAAGTGCAACGACAGCGATGCATTGACCTCCTAAAATGATCCACGCGGAGACACGACCGCTCGCCGTCGCGGTCAGCGGCCGAATGACAAGACAGCCGACGCGCTGCGCCCGCGCCGTACTTTCACTGCGTTCGCACGCGGTGGGCGGGGCTTAGCTTTTTTATTAATTTAACCTACATTTTGAATTCTATTACGTCACCGATCTGGATGTAGGAAACGCGCGCACAATGTCATACGACGTAACAGTTTTTGCTCTTTATTACGACTGGTTCGCGTTTTGTGTGTGGACTTGAACTAAAATCACTTGTGCTTATGTAAGGGTACGGTTCTTCGAAAATTAGTTAATTGGGTTTATGTAGTTACGGCGATTTGGTGGACTTTTATAAAAAATGCCTACCTTTTAAGAAACTTCACTAAAGTTATCAAATAAAGTAATGGGGTACATTTTGAAAATAAATAAACATCCAAAGACGTAAGCGAAGAGGCTTTAAAGCTAGCTTAAGCTTTTATTTACAACGTTAAAGTTTAGGCTTGTTCCCACGGGATATCGTTACCGTTTTTTGCAGGACTCCTGCATTACTGGATCCCGCATAACTGGATTTCCGGGGGAAAGAGCCCTTAAAGTCCAACTTCAACTTCGATCGATGAAGTTTCGCGTTACATTTTTTTACTCAAATCAAATACCTATTGCCGCGTTTCAAATTAATATCACAGATAGACCTATTCTATTTAATTCTAACGCCCGTATTTACAAACATTACTATGAGGTCTCACAGTGCGCGTGGACGCACAGGGTGACACAGGAATCAATCACAGAGCTCTATCAACGATGTGCGTTCGATTTGCTGCTTCACTAAAGCAAGCAACGTTTGTGAATACGGGCGTCAGTATTGCATAAATTCAATGGGACATTGAAAAATCTAACATGCCATGTCCATTCTTTCTTTATTTTCCTACATGAATGTAAATGCACACAGTAAATCGTAGAGCGTGGTTATATCGACTCAAATTTTAGTTTATGTAATACTTAAACACTTATTTACGTTGTTTTTATATAAATGTCTTATGTAAAGCATCGACGGCCTTGACTTTGTTTACTTTGGCTTGATATTTTAGTTATTTACTTTTTTTTTTTTGCTGAAAGTATCTCACAGCTTTCTTATAATCACAATTTCTCATGCACATTTTACATTTAGCAAGTTGGAATTATTGTAACCGTAACTACAACCATAACTGGTGTTTTTTGTATGGAGTTTGACAAACTATTAATTTTTGTTTAAGTTAAAGTAAAAGTCATTCTTCCAGCCCAGTCTTAAGCTGGGTTGCACCATCTTACTTTAACAGCAACCAATGCTAAAATCTGACAATCTCAAAAACACCGGTTAAGGAACGAGTAAGATTTGAATCATAAGAAAAGTAAACGATAAAATCGACAACCCTAATATAATACAGGGTATCCGACCGGAAAAAGAAAAATAAAGGTCAAAACTGCATCAACTAGAGAGCGACCATAAAAAAATCAGACTGCACTGGGTCAACGAACTACGGGTCGGTACCCGAACATGGGCATTGCACTCCTGCGCACTATCCCACAAAAAAAACGATACCTCTAACCTATTTAATACTCTAGCTTAAAGAAATAGGGTTAAAATTCCAATGAGCAACTCCCGCGCATCTATCCGACGAAAACATGACCCCACCGATAGAAAATTGACTCTATTCCCGAATATTAGAGCTGGGAATGTAAAAAGGTTTTTTTTGTAAAGATCACAGGAAAGTTTTAGATAAGGTAAATAGGAAATTATGGCTTTTGAGTTGACATGCGCGTGAAGATTGTTTTTATGGGAAGTTTTAGAAAGTGGTTGTGGTACTGCCGAAGGGCATAGTGTTTCTGAGTCCTACAAGAAAATTTTGCATATGAGTAAAGTTCGTTGCACTGTGAACACGCTCAAAAGTTTGAAAAGAAAGCTTCTAATTTGGATGTTGAAGATACAAACTAAGAATAGCATACTATGCCATGTACGTATGCTAAAATTCCTTGATTGATGTATTAAACTACACGAGAAAGAAAATTACGTGGTGCATGGATTTTGGTTAAGAAAAAATCGTTTTCTTAAGTTCGTACAGATTAAACTTACTTAGACTATACTTATACAGAATTTCTCTAAGCCTAGGCGCAGACCATCGATTTTTCGTCGGCCGATAGTTTAGTCGGGCAGTTGATCAGTATGGGCATGTATGGAAGAGCGCACATTACGCCGATTCGATTTGGCCGATTCTTCATACAATTTAAAATCGGGCACAACTATCGGCCACCTAAAAATCGGTGGTCTGCGCCTAGTCTTAATATTACTCTTCTTAGAGAAACATATTTTTTATTGACTTACAACTAACAACTCACCACAAATGGGTTACCAATAAAAAACAAGTAAAAAGTAACATCAATAGGCACATAATTTTATTTTGTGTTACGTTAATTAAAATCAAGTTTGCTCCATAATACTGTTCATAATAATATACGAGTATGTACAAATATTTGAAGTAAAATACTGAATACAAAGTAAATCATATAAAATCCGTTTAAATGCTGTGCCCTATCGCGTCCCGGATAGGGATTGGTGACCTGGCCCAGTTACATTGTCACCACATAGTCACATTGATGGCATGTTAATTTTGTTTGTATGAAGTTGAAGTTTCCAAAGTTTTAACTTGGTCAGCTATGACAAAACTCCAAAAAAAACTTTAAAAAAAAACAAATAAAATAATTTACTATTGCATGATGGTTGATGGCTGACTAGATGGGTACAAGTCATCTTAAGTCCCAAAAAAGAACACGAATCATATCAGTGTGACTTTTTTGATACTATAGACCAGTGTTTTTCAACCTTTTTCATGACGCGACCCCCCTAGCATGAAAAAAAATGTTGTAGGAACCGAATTCTTCAATCTATACAACATTTATGCATTTGCATAATTAGATTTCGGATAAATCTAGCTTTTAAACTTCTCTGGCTTTTTTACTTAGGTAGTTTTTACGACCTCTCGCGACCCCCCTATAGAGGCGACCCACAGGTTGAAAAACACTGCTATAGACAATGATGCATTGCAGAAAAATTTGTTTCCAAAACGATCAAACATAAATCTTGAGATGCCCCTTTTTGGTCAAAAAAAGAACGTTATGATTTTTTTGAGGCTACAGATAAAGATCTCTTTTTAAATCGATCAAATGAAAGTCTTGAGATGACCCTTTTATCTTGATATTGTTACTTATCAAGCTCTATCCCTTAAAGGTCATCTTCAAATCTCTCACGCGAGTCTTCTTCCGATTATGTTAGCAATTTCCAAATCCCCCTCACCACCCAATAAAACTCGCTAGACTGATTTGGCTTATTTTGGTTTTGGAGTGATTGTTCTAGTCCAGGGAAGGTTTAAACGGCGAGAAGACATGAGAAAATTACGATTTAATTTCCACACACACGAAGTCGCGGGCACAGCTAGTAATAGATAAATATCATTGCAGAAACTCAAGTCTCTTCAAAACGAACTAATGAAAATATTGAAGAGACCCTCAATTATCTTCCTACACTTCGATCTTTTTCCCATACAAGTTATCTTCAGATCCCCCTTCACCCCCCAATAATCTCAATACACCACGACCTCCATCTCAGACCATGGTCCACTATCAGTTGCATAATACGGAAACCCGGCCGACTTTCCAATATTGCATAACGCCAAAATGTAGTTGCACAACGACCTACCGACCTGATGTCCCACTAAGTGACGTAACATTTTGGAAGTTTACTCGAAAGTGGGACGTGTGAAATGCCAGTTATAATAAACCTATTCACGGTTTGTAGTTCAAGATTAGATTCTGAGATGTCACAGTTAAGGAATTAGCGGATTGTCAGTTACGTCATTTTTAACTAGGTTGGTTGATTGACTTTTGACAGTAGACAATATGACGTTCGTTAACGATTTTGTAATAGACTACCAAGTTCTCTACGAAGAAGAAATCGTAATTGAAAACATTATTGAGTTAGGAATAGGGACTAAACTATAGAACGCTCAATGGGTCAGTGAGTTCTTGTTCTCTTCAAATGTAGGAAATGTCCCACTGTGCAGCTAACCAATACAATTTTAACTTCTGACTGATGAATGATAAAAAACCTGCCTATATTTTAAAATCTGTGAAATACAGATAAGTCTGAAACTGATGAAGATATTAAATGAATGGACGGAATGAGAAAACAGAAACTTTTGCAATCATGAGTCAGCTAATTCTCTAGGTGATCGTAATGCTAGATTTGGTTGATTTTGTAATAGGTTTAATTCTGATAGCAGTTTTAATTAAGTATGAGCTAAACATTGCACTCAGTAGACGATCATGTGAAGGTCGCGGGAAGCACCTGGATGAGGGCAGCGCAGGACCATTTATTGTGAACATTCTTAGGGGAGGCCTTAGTCCAGCTGTGGAAGTCCTTTGATTGAAACAAAGTCTACGTGGTCTTCGTACTAAAAAGTGTTTATCTTATGACAGAGAGAAGCGTCATTTTGCCCTTTTGTAGCCTAAATTCTTACTGTAATTTTTATTAGTATTCAAATGTGTACCTACTCAATAATTAATTATTTTTATTTTATAACATTAGCGTATTCACAGATCATGATCTTACAATTCAAGCAGTTATACAATGTGGACCCAGTTAGGCACAGCGACTTTGGACGGAGGCTTAATAAATTTCGTCCAATCATTTACTTTTTTTTGTCCAATGAAGACTGTTTTTAAAGTATATTTTTTATTGTTACAGATGGCGCCAAACGGAGTGACGGACGGCTCGGTGTGATATGTGCATTAAGTGACGCCAGCTAGTTAGAAAAATTACTTCTTTGTGATTTTAACTTTTACATTTTATATACACGGATAGTTTAGTTTTAAGTGATGAAGATTAAACATTGGCGTGGACGGCCTTTGTGCTACAAGCGGTAGCGGGCGCGGTAAGCTTATGACTTAGAATTTTATTTACAACTTTGTCTACCTTCTCTTTAATGCTATCGTCTTTACAAAGTAAAAGTTACTTAAGAGGTGATTTCTGTATACGTTTTTTATCTATTACTCTACTTTGTAAGCTGGTGTATACATTTTAGATTCCAAATCTGCCCTCCCTTCTCTGTCAAATCTAATATGTCTCTTTGCAAAACGATTGAAAATAGTCCCTGTAAGATCCATGAGAAAAATAACCAAATGCACTCTATTACAAAATCTAGTTAAATACTTGCAAGTTTGACATTGATCTTGTAGTGATTATTCGCAACCAAATTTTTAATTATAAAAAATAAAAACGCCCCGCTACCGCTTGTGAATGTGAGAACGTATTCGTTCCAAGTCTCCCAAATTACTAGGGCTGTCAATTTAAGCACGAAATAAAGGCAATACGTCCACCGACAATATTTAATCTACTAGATTGTAACCTGTAAATGATAATGCGGATTTTGGCGCAAAGTAGCGATCTCATATTAGCCGCCATTATCCGTAATAGCTCACACGGTCACTGCCATTGTTGTCTCGAAAAAGGCTCTTAAAATTAGAGAAATAAAGTCTTTAATGTAATGTAAAGGCTGCTGTAGTTAATCACCTTTTTAATCATCAAAAAATGACAAAACATAGATGTTGCTAGAGTCAATCATGGACCCATCAAATTCATAAGACGACTGATATTTTTTCATAGAATTTGAATTCACTTCGGGCGTAAGACTAATGTAACATATAGTGTACGGTGTAAATTGGTTGTATATAATTTTGGATCAGTAATTATTCGAATGTATTAGATATTAGTTCTTGTTATAACTCCTTGAACTTATTTCAATAATAGAGAGAGATGTGAGAGATCCACCAATGTGTTTAAATCGTGTAAAGCTTTCAAGCTGTTTTGTTAAGTTTTCTAGAAGTTCTAAAGCTTACAACTCTTTTTTTAAGTTTAAATTATTTTTCTGTCTTCCACTGTTATTGTGTTGAGAGATGCTTCTATTTTTTTTTTGTTTTATTAATTTAATGTATGTAAATAGAAATTCTATTTTTAATTCTAACGCTAAGCGATTTAGTATAATCTATGGGTTATTATTGTTGAGTTCTAAAATTTTTATTCCTAATGACGTACCTTTTAAATTTTGTTAAGTATTTTTCTTGTCTACTTTTATGTTAAGGTTAAGAAATGAGTTTTTTGTTTAAAATGATAAAATCATGAGTCGGCACTGCCGAAAGGGAAGTACAAGGAGTTATTTATATTAAAAATACGAAATAATGATGTAAATTATAATACTTAATACCTTAAGTAGGGATTACTAATGTTTGGCCAAAAAACGTTTCCCAAATTATCACATCGCAAACAACGTTTCGCAAATTTTCATTTGGCAAATTCTCATTTGGCAAAGCAACTTATTGCAAACTTTTAATTCGCAAATGTTTTTTTTGGCACATTATTGTTTAGCAAATTATTGTTTGGCAAAGTATGGTTTGCCAAATGTTTCATTAGGCAAAAATATTTCACGATAAACTATTTACAAAATAATTTGATTGGTGCTTAGAATGGTAGTATACAAATTAGCTTGTGGTTATTATTTTGTTTAGTGGGGAGTTAATATAAAATTTGTTCTACATTAATTTCCTTATTTCATTCTTTGTATCGAAATTTCCAAATGATTCAATAACAATAGAGGTGATTCTAGCGCTCGGCGGCCGCTGCCGCGGCACGCTTCGCTCGCCTTCGCGCATTAAGGGTCACTGTTCTAACCTAACCTAACCTACTATTTTCTGCAAAACCTACTTTTTGCAACCATACTATTTTCTGCAATGTTTTACATAAAATTATTGTGAAAACCATGATCATGTGCCTTATGCTTTGATTTGTGGGTAACGGTGGGTAAGTATGTGAAATGTCAATTTGACCAAACAAATTATTTGGGATATAATATTTGGCAACATAAAACATTTGCTATATAAACATTTGCCAAGTAAAATTTGGCCAAATGATAATTTGACCAAATGAATTAGTTGCGAAAAGTACAGTTGCTAAAAGTTCATTTGGGAAATGAAACTTTGGCGATAAGTTGTTTGCGAAGTGAAATTTGGCGAAAAGTAATTTGGCCAAACGGAAGGATACCCTTAAGTAGCTACAAGCACGGGTTAAAGGCTGCTTAACACTTAAGGACTCGCTAATGGGTCCAACGGACCCAGTACTTAAATTTTTGTGTAATAACTTTTGAAGTTTGACGTTTGCGATGTTGTCGCTCTTAGTACCTTTCCACGACATTGTAGCACAGCTAATAGCGGTCATAATCGTCAAATAGCCCACTGCATGTGATTGCTACAGACGAAAAATGTGTTTTTGAGTCTACTGGACCCGGTAAACAAAGTGAATTTTTTAATGTTTTATAGTATATTTCTCATTAATTGTCAATTGGTATAAGTAGACAAATCATAGTAGTTTACGAAAATAAACAAGGTATTTTTTTAAATAATTGATTACAGAAATTTTCAAAAATAACCTTCATTTTGCCAAAAAACATTCAATTTTTTAAATAAGTTGTTATTTTAGAAAAAGGCAATAAATATGACTATTTGGTTTATTATTTTGTCTTTGTTTATATCATATTATCCTTCTAATAAATTAATTTTAAATTTTATTAAGAGTTTTTGAAAAATACATAGGATTTTATATACTGGGTCCAGCGCACCCGGTAGCGAGTATGAATGTTACAAATTAAGGCGCGAGTCCTCAAGTGTTAATGAAATAATAACTTTACATTAAATAGAGAGATGCAAAAGCACAGCGTGTCAACCCTGACAACTATTTTTTGAGGTGAGATAATATTTTTGTAAGCTTTTTAAAAAGTCAAAAAACTTATACAAAAAAAATTGTTATACTCTTTTTATCAAGCGTATATGGGTTGGCTGCCTTAGTTAAAACGGGTCAAGAAACATATAGTTACCAGAAAGAATCCTACAATAATGTTAATAATAGAAAAAATGGATCTACACACCAGTAATTTTAACTACTTAACAATAGTCAAAAAAAATACATAAAAGACGTAAAGTGTTAGGGGTTAAGAAAACATATGTATACATTTATGATCATATTTTACTACTTATAATATACAAGTTTACAATTTATACATAGAATAATATCTGGTGTGTAGACCATAGATTAATAGACGATCTATACTCCGTCCCGATTTTACCTGCGTTTGTATCTGAAATTAATGTTAAGAAGAAATAAGTACATAATGCATATACTATTTTTCATTTACTGTTGTATATATTAGTATAAAAACCTACACTTGAATCGTAAAAGGCCTTGTTGGAAGTCTTTCCTAAGCATTTGTTATTATATTGTTGAATTTATTTTATTTTCTATTGTTTTTATTTTCTCGACGTCCAAACGGTGCTATGAGATAAAATCTTTCTTTTCCTGAGCCAAAGACATTATTTTATGCTTCAACATACTTTTTATATAACAAAAAAATGCCATTTTAGAAATGGGATTTGAAAAAAGTAATTTGAGAAAATTGGCAACCCTGTAACTTATAAACAATTTGTAAATAACGTTACCAGGTATAACTGGTAACGTTATTTAGTTATTATACTATCTTGTTTATAATTTTGTTATTTATGTATATTTTTGCTTATTCCTGTTTCCCGCAACGTGAGGCCTTTCAAACTCCTCTGACAATAATGTTAGCGTTAAGTGGTACTGAAACCGCGTAATTGATGTTATAGGTGCAATTAAATTTAATATATTATACCTATTTAATATAATTGTCGTTTTCATTACAAACCCTAATTTTAAGTTTTTAGTCTACATCAGGGGTGGCCAAGCGGTCGATCGCGAATATTTTTAGTCCAGTCGATCGTGGCAAGGCAAAAAATACTGCATGATTGTGTACTAAATCATCCTGTTCCATTTAAGATTTCAAGAAGTATGTAAGTGTTAGATCGCCCAGGGTTTCGTTAGTAAACAGTAGATCTATGTCTAATCAATTTGGCCACCCCTGGTCTACATAGATCGAAGACTCTATGCCCGTTTTCACCATCAATCCCTAATTTTTAAGTGACCCTTATGAAAACAAAATTCCTGTTAAGATGACGTCATGTTATGTTACTTTAGGGGTCACTTAAAAATTAGGGATTGTTGGTAAAAACGGGCATTAGTGTTAGCGCTTAGTTTCTACGAAGACATCATGCTTTTTGCAGGAATTGATTTTTGGAGGATCCCGTTTAGTAGTAGCTACACGTTTTCATAATTATAACGTTCACACGAACATGCCGTTAGCAAGTGTCCCGCAAAAAACCGGTCGAATTTCAAACACATTATGTGTATTCACACGGTCCAGTTTTGTGAGATCCTACACTACTGGATCCAGCAAAACAGGAACGCGAGCCTAAGGCGTCCTAATTATGGACCCTATAAAGGACTGTTCACTAAAGTTTCGCATACGTCACGCCGATGACGTAGCTTCTACTCTGCGTTTCTCTAACGCCCACTCTCTACAAACAGTTTCTAATGTCAAAGGGCATAACTCAGTTCAGCAGTGACGTCAAAATGTTCTTTGAATACTTTTTAACTAAAGCTAGTCTTTTGTTTTTTAAATAGAGTAAAATAAAAATAAATATTTTTTACCGTCACGTCAGTCAGCTTCAGATTCAGATTTCCAAAATGTTAAGGCTGTTATAAATTAATATATGAAGCCTTTAATTGAAGGTTAATAATATTTTACGCAAACGCAGCGTGCGACATCGACCCAGAAGATGGACCGACGACCTGATAAAGGTAGCAGGAAGGCGTTGGATGCAGGCCGCTTCCAACCGTGCGATGTGACAGTCATTGGGGGGGGAGGCCTATGTTCAGCAGTGGACATCCTGTGGCTGAAATGATGATGATGATAATGAATATTTTAAGTTGCCAGGCTGTAAGTACCCAATTCTCTAGCAGCAAAACTCTTCTCAACACCATACATTGTCCCGAAGTGATGGCAGGGCAAGTTATACATATTTGAAACGCGTAGTTATAAGAAGCGTGTGTGTATACAAGTGCCCTGAAAAGGGCTTATGTAAGCCTTATTTTCAAATTCTTTATTAGTATGTGCTCGGGGTAGGGCACCGACGAGATGGTCGGACGCGGTGAGGAAGACGGTGGGCGGGAGTTTGCATCGTGCGGTCCACCTCCACACAGCTTATGACCGCAGTCTGTGGAGGAACACTATCTGTGGTCGCGATCCTCATCAGTGAGGGACCGAAGAAGAAGAAGTTGTACTATAGAATTTGAATTTGACACCAAGTCGACTCACGTAAAACCTCGTTTTCCTAAAACCACGTCACAATACCTTCAATTCTATGATTCAATCTACTGCACTTTGCCTACCAATGTGACGCCTAACTCCATTTCAAACATGCCTGTCGCATGAGTCGCCAGACGCGTGAAATGCCAACGTTGGGCCAACGTTTGATGCACCTGCGACTATTTCTGAACAGAGAGAGTAATGATATAATTATTGATTTATTTCAGACTACAACAAGAGCAATGAAATGGGTAATAAACAATACATCTATAGAATAGTCACTTGAAGAAGATTGTGCGAGTTTCCACTTAAAGTATTAGGAAACGGACAAAAATGCTACAGAATTGGTAGCTAAAGGAATATAGGAACTTTGATTCTAGTATCAAAACTAACATAATTCATCACGACTTATTAAAATGTTTTTCAAAGCAAAAGAAACTTTTGTCAAAATCTGACCTTTATCTTTAGAAGAAGCGCATTCCAACGAGGTACGCAGTTAGCTCGATTGGGTTGTAGGTACTATCGAGAATTTAGTAGCCTAAGTAAGCACATTATGACTGGGATAATCCATCTAGACCATTGGTTCCCAAAGTGGGGGGTGCGCCCCCCAGGGGAGGCGCAAAGACCTTAGAAGGGGGGCGCGGGCCATCTGTGTACTAAGTATAAAAAACCTGCGACCGCTGAGAGAATGCATTCCAGACTGCTCGATACGACCAATAAATAATCTTGACTGGAAGAGGGGGGGTGCGAAATTTTTTGTATGGTCTAAAGAAAATGCGTCATAAATAAGTTTGGGAACCAATGAACTAGACCATCTGTAGACAGAAGGTAAT